GATTAGATGATCTACTCAGGTCCCTTCCGACCCTAGAAACCTAGAAACTATGAAACTTTAGCTTTTCATTTGTTAAAATTTCACATACTGTAGCCAAATTGTATCATACTGTTATATTCACCTTAGTCATATCATAATTTCAGTGAGACTACTCATATTATTAAGGCAAGTAGAATTTGGCACAATATTGAGAAATGGCTGTATACTGTACTTTTCCAAGTCTGACCTTTTTCTACTTACTGGCACTAAGGAACAAATAAATATAGTGAGTGGACAGAAGCATATCACTTGAAATGGAAGGTTTTGATTAGGGCCTTGATCCTGATACTACTGTTGCAGAAGAAACTCCAGTTGAATTTTACACCAGGAGGATGAGCACATCAGGGGCACAGATGTACTGATGTGAGGGAGTCTAAATTGTAAGAATTTAGAGATGGGGAAAAATCAGAGAGGCTATTCAGATGTAACTACATATAAGCCCATGCAAAATGTAGGGTTTGTTGGCCTTGTTTAGCCAAGCAAACAGAAATTAGAAAAATAAAGACTAGGAAATGTTATTTTCTTGCCATGAGTTTGGAATGAACACATTGCACTTGCATTGCAAAACTAAAGCACAAGAGAAATGTACTTCATACTGCAACATAAAATGAAAGCTGAATTGGGTCAATTCCTGGCAATTCTGAAGGGCTTTAGATAGAACAAGATTGAAAAGAAAGTCTATCCTAAAGATGGGCTTGTCAAAGGAGCTTGAGGGTTTTAAGGGCACTGACATTCAGCAGCCCAAGGGCCAGAATATAAAACATATTTAGTTTTAGCTCAGCGTTGCACTGTTTTACTGGCTGATGTAGGCACTTACAAACCTAAGTCATGTGGGCTCAACTTTTAGCTCCAGTTTTTGTAGATGTTTGCTATGAACTTTATAGTAGTTTGCTATAAACGTTATTATAGTTTCTAATACTGACTCTATTACATAGGTAGTTAATCTTTTTAATAACTCATTGAAGGACTTTATTCCCATTTCCCTGTTCCAGTTTCATGAATATTTATAGTGTAATAGTCATGTCTTCCTTCTGTAATGCATTTTTCGTGAATGTTAGAACAAATAGTACAGAGCCAAACATTAATATCAATTTTTTATGCTAGAGCAAATCTGATGTCAGTGGAGTTATTCCAGATTTATATTTGTAACTTGTGTAAATGAGATCAGATTTGCATTCACTCTGTATAACTAGGTGCATGTGTGTATGTGCATGCATGCATGAACAAAAATGCGGGTTTGCATCCATATATATTTAGTTGTAATATGTTGCATGCTAACCTTTTAGTCTTTGAAGCAATGCATGATTATAGTTGTCTTTGCTTATTTAACATTGCTCATATTATCTGTTTTTTCTCTTTATTATTGTAAGACATTTTCATCAGTTTCATTCAGCAAGCTCCTTGAGACGTGTGTATAAAAACTACTAGTGAGTTATACTATCTGTGTTGTTTTGATTTTAATAAAAAACATCAGTAGTTATAGTACCTTTTAACACTGATCATGTTTTCTTGCGAAAATATTGTGGAATATCTAGCCACAATATTACCATTAAAGTACTCATATTGTTCATTGTTTTTCTTTCATCATTTTG